TTTGAAGTGTCAGTTACCAAGCTTTTTTTTCTCTAAGTAATTTCACTGAGAGCTGAACACTGACAGATTCAGTCACCAACAACATTTCTGCTGCTGTCAGGCTTGTAAAATAAAAAGCAAACAAATATCTTAAACAATTTTAACACTGTATTTTACTTAAAGCAGCATTATTTTATGTTATACTCAGAATTGTAACTTACTGCTACATTCTGTTGTGTGCTCTGATTTAGGTTATCGTATAAAGTTTGAGCTCCATATATTTATTTATTTATTTTGCTTTGTGGTTGTTTTTTTTTAATTTAATCACACCATAAATTATCTGAAAAATACTGCTGCCTGTTGTTGATGTAWWTACATCAACAACAGGTGGCTGTGGTGGAGTGGTTAAAGGAGTCATCCTGGAACCGGAAGGTTGCCGGTTCAATCCCCCGTTCAGCTGTCTCAGTCGTTGTGTGCTTGGGCAAGACACTTCAGCCGTCTTGCCTACTGATGGTGGTCAGAGGGTCCGGTGGTGCATGGCAGCCCCACCTGTGTCAGTGCGCCCCAGGGAAGCTGTGGCTACAAAGTAGCTTACCATCATCAGTGTATGAATGGGTGAATGTCTGTAAGTKTAAAGCACTTTGGGGTCCGGAGGGACTTGATAAAGCAATACAGAAGTTCAGTCCATTTACTATTTACTTACAGGAACAGAGACRGATTTTCCATATACAAATAAAGCAGTTATTTTAAGTAGCATCCTCTGTAGCATCCTCCTTCATGTCTTTTCAGCATTATTATCTGTTGTCATGTCCGTATTAACCTTAGATTCTCATCCCTCATCTCTTACACCCATTTTAGCTCTTCTTAGTTTATTTCTTCATCTTACTTTAACACTTCAACCTCCTGAGGCCACCGTTACTCCATACCTCTGCTCCCTTGTGTTCCCTCTCTCGTTCAATTCTGACTCATYGTCTCGTTCCATTGAGCCCCCATTCCTCCCAATCAACCCCCTTGCTGTTTTACCCCAACACTCCCTTTACTATTCGTCCATCCATCAGACTGACTAATGGCCATCAGGGCAGGGAGTGACCCTGCAGCTGTCTGGGGCAGACACTGATCACATACACACTCACTTTGAGTTGATYGCACAGCCATCCATTTGCATGGTCTTGTCAAGCTTGCAGCACACAGCCATTTTAAAACAGGAGCCCAAATGCTTTAAATGAGTGTATAAAATGAGACTTATCACACTCATCTGGGGTTAAAGGGTGAACATTTTCTGCATTTAATTCACAATAAATGCTCTGTGTTGTGCAAATCACTTTACATCCCTATGAGTTCAGCTGCACGGTAAAAAAAAAGGCTAATTATGATTGCTGTTTACATTTAGAAGTGTAATAACTGCAGTGGAAATAAGTATTAAGTTTGATGTGTGTGTTTGTTTTATTCTATGTTTATTGAGTTGCTCTCTTCTCTTTAACTGTCTATCCAACTTTTAAAACCAATGAACTATGTTAAGCCAATACATTTGCATAACAAGGTCTCTCTTCCTTTTTGTTGTTCTGCTCTACTAATAGTGGAGTTTCCAAACAACATAGACTAATGATGTGCCTCCCATTAACCAGTTTGCTATTGGGCCTCAATTGTGCCATTGCAGTCTCAGAAGTGCAGTTTTTAAGCAGTGCTTGGGTACAAGCCCATCAAAGGCCACAGTAAAAGGCTTGAGGTGTTGCTTATCCTTTGGGCACTAACCCCTTTAATGATATCATAATTGCCTTTTTGTTCATATTATGAAACTTTAATGGTCTGTTGAGCTTTTACCTACAGACCGAGTTTAGTATGTTAGCCCTTTACATCACGGCTACTTATGATGTCATTTGTCAAAAATTATGTCCCATTTGTCATTATGGAGCTGCTAAATTATAAATGTGCYAAGAGAGAAAGAGGAATGACCACAGCTGTTATTCTTTCACATGCAAATAAAATRCAAAAGTAGAGCTAATTGATGCTTGAAAAATCCTTTTGTGGAAACTGTTTATGCCCAAAGCAGCTTTGGAAAAGTCTTTTTTTTTCTCTTTTTTCCTAATGATTTTATATGTTGATATTCAGTTTAATGATGTATGTAGCAGCACAATCAATTAGTGATTCACCTTGTAAATTATGAACTATAAAACTGGAACATGATGTCATTTTGGGGAAAGTGATGTGAGAAGACAAATTGAAAGCATCAGCCCAAACACTATAGTGGGACTTTACCAAACAAAATACTGATGTGAACCAATGTTTTGGTTTGTTCAGTGAACAAACACACTGCCTCTTTAATATGCAGACCAAAGGGGCCAGAGATTGAATCACTAACTCTTTGCTTTATGGATGACCTGCTCTATCTCCTGATCCAAAGCTACCCCAGAGAACCAGGGTTGGAAAGTTGATAAACAGCACTGTGACAGTAATTACCTCTGTGTGAGACTTAAGGTTTTGTTGAGCTAGCTAATTCAAATAAAACCTTGCTTGTCTTGACACACAACCCTCAAGTGTCTCTGTGWTAACCTTTGGAAGTAGTTTCAGGTGGATCAAATTGTTGGGACAGTATGAGCACATTCCGATAGTGATTGACATATCCTTCATTTAAATACACATTACTTTTTTTTTTTTAGAAATTGTGTTTCATAGGAAAACAATTCCAGATATCTAATGTGTTACTGATTTTGTTTTGGGATCCTTGTTGTTTTTGTTATACCTGCTTCCACTCAGCACATTTTCAACATCTATACAGATAATATTCAGCTCTATATTTCCTTTAAGCTCCAGTACATTTATACAGACGTTGCACAAGTGCTTTCACTTTGTTAAAGATTGGGTAGCTGAGAACTTTCTCCAACTCAATGGCTATAAAACAGAAGTCCTTATGTGTACCCCTGACAGACTTGTACTTAAGACAGACACAAAACAGGTAAACTAATTTTAATTTATGTCATTAATAAATACAGTTCTCTATGAGTTATTGTATCAAGGCATGTAAATATATGATAATATTTTTCTTACCATGTTTTGACACTGCACCTTTCTACAAAACATGAGAACATCAGGGTAGCCAATTTAATAATAATAATAATGTGTTTGACTCAAAATCATAAAGCAACAAGTACAAATGCTGGATCAAAGAGGTCATGGATATCAGAAATCAGAGGATCATCTGCTGCACTGCTAAAAAAAATGTTTATTTATTTATTTTTCTGTGCGTTTTGTTAGAAGCRTGTTTCAGGTTGAGGTGAACCCTCTCTCACCAAATTTGTTTTAACAAAAAAGTAGGCTGACGCCAGGGGGCGACGTTGGTCTCTGTAAAGCCCTGACTGGGACAGCAAGAGTGCGCGCAAAATGGATGGAGACGAGCCCGCGCGCAAAAGAGTGCGCACACGAGAGAGAGAGAGAGAGAGAGAGAGAGAGAGAGAGAGAGAGAGAGAGAGAGAGAG